AGAATTTGGTTGTAAGATTTAAAAGGTTTTTTTGGTAGAAGATTTAAAAGGTTTAAGGTTGTTGGGGTTCAAATTTGTGGAACTATGTGTCAAAATCAGAGAGACCAGTTAGAACCAAGCCTATATGATCAAACAGATGGATTCATTTACAACAACCCGCTATCGGACCTCTTCTTTACATACGAGTGTCTGATTTTATTCAGGGTCAGGAGAGATACTAGGTGTCAACTTGGATCAATCAGAGGAGAAAGAGTTGAGAGTGAAAAGGGTGTCCTGTCTTGAACCACATGCCCAAAAATATTTAACTTATATACGAGAAAATACAATGTTATAGAAAGGACAGTTATGCCCTTATCTTACAAGAAATAATAAACCAAAAGATATTGTACATAAGTTACAACATAAAAGGGTGGTTCCAAGGGCCAAAAGAGGAAAGAAGATGTAAGAGATATAGATCAGTCTCTACACCCCTACCTCGACATCAGTTTGTCAACTAGAAATTGGTGGCGAGCACGGGTCATGGCCTTCATGAATATGTCAGCACGATATAGGGCAGAAGACATGTGCGGTAGAGATATGTGTCCAGTAGAAAACGGGTCTCTAATGAAGTGGCAGTCAACCTTTATATGTTTGGTGCGCTCATGAAAGACTGGGTTAGATGCAATCTTGATAGCACTCACATTGTCAGCATAAATAGGAACTGAGGATGATAAGGAGATTCCAAGATCATTAAGAATGGCTCTCAACCATATAATCTCACCATAGACAGATGACATAGCCCTATACTCAGCCTCGGTAGATGATTTGGAAACCTCGGTTGCTTCTTGCACTTCTAGGATATAAGAGAGTCACCAAGAAAGACACACCAACCACTAGTGGAGCGTCTAGTGTCTAGGCATCCTGCCCAATCAGCATCTACATGTGTAGATAAGCTAAGTGAAGGAGATGCAGGGAAGAAAATGCTATGTGAAAGTGTTCCACGAATGTATCTGATAATGCGAAGAACTGCAGTCATGTGCGGTTGTCGATGAGAAAAAACAAACTGGCTTACCACTTGAACCGCATAAGATATATCTGGATGTGTTTGTGTCATGGTGAGGTAGATCAGACTATCGACAAACTGTCGATAAAGAGTGGCATCTGCTAGGAGGTCCCCATCATCTTTTGAGAGGTCCATCACATACTTTCATTGATTAACAAAATACCCACGGGGAGAGTAAGTAACTTCTAGACCCAAGAAATAAGTGAGATGACCAAGGTCCTTCATCTTGAAAGACTGACTAAGTAACTATTTCAGAGAAGAAATATTTTAATTGTCATCACCGGTAATAAGAATGTCATCCACATAAAGGAGTAGTAATGTAATTCCTTGGGGACTCCTCAATATGAACAATGAATAATCTGAAGAGCTATGTATGAATCCTGCATATGTGATCACTGAACGAAATTTCTCAAACCAAGCCCTAGGGGCTTGTTTAAGACCATACAAGGACTTTTTGAGTCGACATACCAAGGAAGAACTGTCATAGTATCCCAGTGGAGGCTTCATATAAACAGTTTCCTTGAGGTCCCCGTGCAAGAAAGCATTTTTGACATCCATCTAATGAATTTCCCAATGTTTAATTGCATATATGACCAACAACAAACGGACGGTGATGATCTTAGCAATAGGGGTAGATATCTCATCATAATCTATCCCGTACTCCTGCTTGAACCATTGTGCCACCAAACGTGCGTTGTATTTATCAGGAGTCTCATCGGAATTGAGTTTCACTGAATACACCCATTTGCTTCCAATAAGAGAGGCATCTGGAGGAGCTAGAACCATATCCCAAGTATCATTATCCATAAGAGCTTGGAGTTCAGTATCCATAGTGTCTTTCCAATGCGGGACAGCCATAGCCTTCTGATATGATGTGGGAATTTTTGTGATAGACCAAACAACAGAGAAGGAGCTATGGTTTAAAGGAAAACCATAGCGGTCAGGAGGATGAGAAATTCAAGAAGAGCGACGTAAATGATGATTAGAGGATGGTTGAAGATCACTGATAGGTGCAGGTGTACTTACAGGATCAAGAAAAGGATGAGAACTCATGGCTATAGATGATGAATCGGCTTCTAGTGATGAAGGGGGCAGGGCGATAGGAGCTGGAGCAGTTAGCTTCTCTTTGAAAAAGACACGGAGCAACTCTGGAATAGAAGGTGAATCTGAAGAACTTGTAAAGTCAAAACAATGCAGTATCGAAATAGAAGTAGCATGCAACTTAACAATGTGAGCAAAAAAGGGCATGTTCTCAAGGAAGATGACATTGCGGGATACGCGAACTCGACGAGACTTTGGATCATAGCAAAGAAAGCCCTTGTGATCGGGGCTATATCTCACAAAAGCATACATTGTTGATTAGGGAGTCAGCTTTGTGCATTCATGTGGAGGAAAATGAACAAAACATACACAACCAAAGACATGAAGAATAGAAAAATCAAGTGAATGGTGAAACAAACTTTGAAAAGGAGATGTATTATGCAAGACAGATGATGGAAGAATGTTAATAAGGTACATAGTAGTGCTGGCTGCCTCCACCCAGAATGAAGTAGAAGCATGGGAATCATGAAGAAGAGTTCGAACTATGCTCAGGATATGTCTGTTCTCGCACACTGCCACTCCGTTTTGTTGTGGAATGCCAGGACAATATCTCTAGGATTGTATTCCATTGTCTCTTAAGAAAATTTGAAAATCTCCATCAAGGTATTCACCCCCCGAGTCTGAATGGAGAATCCCAATATTTGCATCAAATTGGTTTTTGATTTTTGTTATTAAGGATTTAAAGGTAGAAAAAACTTCATATTTGTTTCTCAAGAAATATATCCATGTAAAGCGAGTGCAGTCATCAATAAATGTAACAAAATATTTAAATCCCAATTTGGAAACAACTCGAGACGACAAAACATCACTATGTATTATTTTAAAAGGAATAGAAGCATGTTCAACAACTGAAGGAAAGGGTAAAATGTGACTTTTACTCAAGCAACAAGAAATGCAAGTCTTATCAACATTATTAAAAGAAGTGGCTTTAGAAGACAAATAGTCATTACAAAACAAAGACTCAAGTTTATTTGCATAGGGGGTGCCCAAGACGCCTATGACACAAGTGCCATACATTTTTTCTACAAATAACCTCAGTACTAGGAGTGATAGTAAGTAAACAGGATGTGGATGAATGCCCCGGTGTCTTTTCAAATTCCAAGGCAAATAGCTGACCCAGTCTACGCTCCTTCCCTTTCACCGTTCCAGTGCGTTGGTCCTGTATCAAATAGCCATCATGTGAAAAGGAAATAACATTACCATCCTCAACTAACTGACCGACTAAGATTAAATTAGTTGTAAATTTAAGAACAAAGAAAGTTTTAGGTAGATGAAAACAAGAATTAGCAGATGTGGTCCCAAGGGCCAAAAAAGGAAAGAAGATGTAAGAGACATAGATCAATCTCTACACTAGGATAGTCTTCCCTTTATACTTTTTCCGTCTTGTTGTCCCCTCTTCTCCCATCCTACGCCTTTTTATACGATTGCTCCAACTTTTGCTTGGGTAGGACCCTAGTTTTTTCACCATTCCTATTTGCCTAGGATCTTACTTGACTTGGAGATTGCTTTGGTATCTCCCTTATCCTTTTCCCCTTGCTTGAAGACCTCGCTTTGGCACTGCCATGCCCCTCATAAATGCTTGCTCACTTACTAGCTTGTAAGTGGGCGTGGCGCCTTCCTAGTATCCCCTCTCTTGCCAAACCTTGCCCGGTCCATCTTCCTTGGAGGTTCCTTGTACTTCACAGTCTATTAAAAGTGGTTGGTTCCTTTTATTCCTAGTTACCTCTGATCAGATGGCATGTGGTGCATTATAGTCATTCTATTTTCTTTTATCTCGACAAAGGTTGAGTTGAAGAGATAGGTTTTGAGATTTTCTCATTCTCATATTCCTAATTAACCACCCAAAACTTCTTCCTAGAACATCTCCCTCTTCAAAACTATCTCATTAATTCATAGCTAATAATACCATTTACCCTTTTATTCTAAAATTTTGATTCTCTCTCTCTCTCTATCTATCTATCTATCTATCTATCTATCTATCTATCTATCTATCTCTATACCATCCAAATACATGCATTTAGTTGTCCATTGTCCATCAAGTAGTTGAACCACATGGGAACCCATTTAAATTCCAATAAAAACATATAAAAATAATACAAATACATTAATAAAAATAGTAAAATTAATAAAAACATTAGTTTTACAGTTACTTTTTATTAATTTAAAATCCATTTTAAAAGTAATTAATAACAGTTACAATGAAAAATGAATAAAACTTAAATATCAATAATAAGAATATGAATTATTCATTTTTATAATTAATTTATAATAATTTGAAATCTATTCAATTTCATTTGAATTAATAAAAATTAATAGCAAAAAATGGACATTTTCAAACCAGATAGACATAAAGTTGTAAGCACGTTGAATGAGCACTTAAAAAAAATTTAGCACCTACCCCCAGCCTACGCTGGATTCCAGATTAAAATTCTTGTCACAATATTTTTCAGAGTGTGCCTAGTAGATCCGGTCCCACTTTCACGACATGGAACGCTTTTGTTGGACTGTGAAACAATGCAGTTTGCTACACGTGTCCATTAATTATTGCTGGTTAATTTGGTATAGCTAGTTCTAATAACAGATTTTAACTCCCAAGGAAGAAGCTGGTTGGTGTGCATTTCTCAAACCATTAAAGTAGGAAAAACAGTTGAAAACATGACTACAAACTGGCCAGAAACACTAACTACCGTCTATTTTGTCACATTTCTTCAACTGAAATTTGCTTCATTTGTTCATTTCCCATGCTATAAAACGAATCCTCCTGGCAAATCTCAATGTTGCAGCAGAGATTAGCTCATCTTGTTTCATTAAAGGAAAAACTGAGAAATTGTAGAGTAAGCAGCTGTTTGTTCAAAAAATGCCATACGGAGATGCAAACAATGATGCAGAGAAGAAGAAGAGGATCGCCGTTATTAGTGCATCTTCCTTGATCCTGGTGGCCATGGTTGTGGCCGTGGCGGTTGGCGTCAATCACAACACTTCTGACGCCAGTGGCGATGGGGAGAGTGTGAGCAAAGATTCGGGTGGTGACATACAGTCATCGATGAAGGCAATCAAGGCCATATGTCAACCCACTGATTACAAAGAAACATGCGTTCAGAGTCTGTCGTCGGCGGCCGGAAATACTACTGACCCCAAGGAACTCGTCAGGGTCGGATTCCAGGTGGCCATGAAGCATATACGCGAGGCCCTCAGTCAGTCGGAGACGCTGAAAGAAGTGGAGAAGGACCCAAGAGCAAAGCAGGCACTTCTGTCATGCCAAGAGTTAATGGACTATGCCATTGATGACCTAAAGAACTCGTTCGATAAGCTGGGTGCCTTTGACATCTCCAAGGTTGATAACATACTCGCCGATCTAAAGGTTTGGCTTACTTCTGTGAATACCTACCAGGTAACATGCACGGATGGGTTTGAAAACACGACTGGAGATGCTGGGGAGCGCATGAAGAAAGCACTAAAGACATCCGGGGAGCTCACCGAAAATGCCCTCGCCATGGTAGATGAGATCTCCTCCATCCTTAACCAGTTGCAGATCCCCGCATTGAATCGTCGTCGGCTTTTTTCTACCAAGGAATCAGCAGAATCATCAGAAACTCCCACTACCGCCGAAGATGACATCCCGGCGTGGATCCCGAATGAGCATCGCAAGCTCCTCTTCACCGGTCCTCTGGATGCCCTCAAGCCCGACCTCGTCGTCGCTAAAGATGGAACTGGAAATTTCGCCACCATCCTTGAAGCACTTGAGTCTCTACCCAAGACCAAGGAAAACAAGACCATCATCATGTACATCAAGGAGGGAGTCTATTCTGAGATCGTGGAAATCAGCAGGAACCTAACCGGCAGCTTTATTATGTACGGAGACGGTCCTACGAGGACCAAAATCACCGGGAGCCTCAACTTCATTGATGGAACTCCCACATTCAAGACTGCAACAGTTTGTATGTAGGAAGTTATATAATTCTGTTGGGTATTTTACACTGTATAATTGTCTGATTGATTCATGTAATATCTTCTTCTTCTTGCAGCTGTGAATGCACATGGGTTCATTTGCAAGGACATCGGAATTGAGAACGCCGCCGGTGCTGAAAAGCATCAGGCGGTGGCTCTGAAAGTCGTCGCCGACATGGTTGTGTTCTTCAACTGCCAGATGGATGGATACCAAGACACCCTGTATGCTCACTCCGGCCGTCACTTCTTCCGCGATTGCACCATCAGCGGCACAATAGACTACATCTTCGGGAACGGAGAGAGCATTTTCCAGAACTGTAAGATGGTGATAAGGAAGCCAATGGTGAACCAGGCCAACATTGTGACTGCCCAAGGTCGGAAAACCGAGCGCGAGGTGTCTGCAATCGTGCTGCAGGGTTGCACCATCAGCGCCGATCCATCGCTGGTGCCTGAGAAGAACGTATTCAAATCATACCTGGGTCGCCCATGGAAGGAGTTCTCCAGAACCATAATCATGGAGACCGATATCGATGATTCCATCAGTCCAGATGGGTGGATGCCATGGATGGGTGACTTTGGCCTCCAAACTTGCTACTATGCCGAATTCAACAACAGAGGTCCAGGAGCTGTGCTGACCAACAGAGTGAAGTGGCCTGGAATCAAGACACCACTCACCCCGGAACAGGCTCAGGAGTACACTGCCGCCCCATACATCCAAGCTGATGATTGGGTGAAGCCTCTGGGAATTCCATATGTTCCAGGCCTCATGTCCGGTCCCGCGGCCGCGGCCGCCCTTCCCACTCCCGCGGCCTCCACTCCCGCGGCCTCCGCCACTCCTGCAGCGACCTCCACTCCCGCGGCCTCCCCACCCGAGGCCTAGACCTAGAGCCCTAGAGGGGGACTATATAACGTTGTGAGTTAATCTACAAGTATTTTTGAAGGAGACAAAGTATCATTCCTTCTCTTAATACGTGTAATCTTCTTGTCCAAAGGGACGAATCAAGAAATGACTCAAAAGAATAAAAATAAAAAGATTTTATGAAAAGGAGACAATAC